TCATCGTTTTTATGTGTAATTTTTTATCGCTAAATATCTTTAATTTCGTAATGAAAAAAATTGCGAAAATTACATATTAATAAAATACTCATTATTACGAATCTAACAAGATCCCACTTAAAATATTTTTTCCTTACATATTATCGTATACTTAAGGTCAAAGTTTTGTCAAATCAGACAATAAGATCAAATCAGACCAAATAAGATCAGATCAGATAAATTTAAATAAGCAAAAATAAGGTGAACTAAATAGGGTTTACTCATAGTAATCTACTCCATATTATCTATCCATTAAATAAGAGTATTATCATTTCATCTTAATTAAAAGTGCTAACGTTATGGAACTCTTTATACTTGTATTGAGAATATGATTGAAGTGATTTTAGAATTAATATTATCGCTAAACTAAAAGATGTTGGTCTCTTTTAGCTATACGATAAAATTACGGTCCCAGTAGCTTGCTTAATTGAGTTTGTGATATTTCTTAATTTATCATCAAGATAACGATGTTGCTGACTTTTGCTACCAAGGATTCTTATAATATTATGTAAGGATTTATATAGATTTTACTTGGGTCACTTCAATTCAAGTGCAAAATACTTCCCTAACTCAACAAAATTTTGGAAATGTTTCCTTTGTGCACCATCTTTTGTTCCCCCTAATTTAGAAAATCATTTTACTCCATTCCAAGGAAACTCTTAGAAAATAATAAAGAAAAAAAATAACTCTTAGAAATTTTGATATTTCTCATTTACCAATACATATTATATGCCGTGCTTCAATTCAATTCATTTCATTCTCTATATAATTTTTTTCAAAAAAAAAAAAGAAAAAAAAAACGAGTAGTAATTAATCTTTTATGGACTTCGGAGTATGCCTAATATTTTATTTTCCTCCAAAAGCAAACAATTAACACTACAAACAACTCCACAGTCAAGTGTCTTATAACAACCAAGAAGGCCATTAATCAACAGTACTCTGTAATACGTACAGTACCATGTAAGACCAACGTAATAGGAACATTATATTAAGTCCTCCATTCAATCATAAGTATGATGTAATCCAAATCATTTATCAATATTAATACTTTAATAGGGGTATGAAGAAAGCTACTATAAATGGTGTAGGAAAGGACAATAGTAGTCATAATGAGTTGTTAGAGTTTGTGGAAAATCCATCTCCTTATGGATGATGCAACCAACTATTGTTGAGATAAATTATCATCAAGTCATAGAGCGACACATTAAGAAATTAACCCCTTTTTGTAAAAATGATAGGTGTATGAGTGATTTTATTTACTTTATTTTAACTAGTTATTTAATGAGCTGATAAGTTCAAATCATACAAGTTTACTGTATAAAGTTTAATAAATTTAGATAATAATAAAGTGTAAATATGCTTTGATGAATGAAAATTAAGTGAATATTTTAAAAGACTAGGTAAAAACTACTTCCTTTGTTCCTGTTTTTTTTTTTTTTTTTTGCTTTACTGGACTTTACACGGTTTTCAAAACGCGTCTTGCAACGTATATAACTTTATTTTTATACGTGTAAAAATTATAAAAACTTAATATTAATTAAACATACAATAAGACGAATCTAATAAAACCCCACATCAATATATTATCTTTTGTTGATCAATGGGAATATGAAGTCAAATACTTTGAAGTTTGACCCAATTATTCACAATGAAACAAAAAAAAATAGGAACGGAGGGAGTATAAAGCATGAAAAGTCAGGGAAAAGATTGTAAAAGGAGGGTGAGGCGGATAAGGATGACACATAAGCAAAGACAAAGACAATAGTTAAATAAGTGTAATAATCCAATCTCAGTAATAAGTGAATACTCCGTAATGTAATGTAATAAACTTAGTTTAGTTGTTGGGTTGGTTGTAGTTACAGTAGTAGTTGTGGAGTTGTGGTTGTATTTCCTGACTTCTGAGTGGTCTCTACAGCCAACCCAAAAACTAAGCTTGTCCTTTGGAACTTGTTATTCTATTCATTTTCACGCCCCCCCTTTTCTTTTGGGACTTCTCTTATTGGTCACTTCGTACGGCTACTTTTCTTCTTTTGTCTTTTTTTTTTACGTCATCATTTTATCAACCTTGTTGCTGCTCCCTTTGCTTACTGTATAGTACTGTAATACACTCTTAATTGCATGTTAGAAACAAAATTATCCATGTTAATTAAGGAGTTGCAACATTAAAATTGAGCTCGAGCTTGAGTTGAGTTCATTGACCAAGCTAAGTCGCGCGAGCTAGAGTGGATTGCAATGCTTGCTAGAAAACCATGATGAAACTAAACGGATAAATCATATAGTTACTCGGTATGCATTTTTCCTAATCCTTTAAATTTTAGTAGGTTAATACTTACTCGTAGTATTTTGATGCTTCTAATCTCAAGTGGTTTGATCGTGATTAAAATGGTGAATACTGCAGTGTTCTTGGACAATATCAGTGGGGTTAGTTTATGATGTTAGTTGGATTAGACTATGATTTTAGTGGGTAACTGTTAGGACTAGCGTTAGTTTTTAAGTTATTGGTTACATGTCAACTTCAAGTGGGGGAATTAGTAACTAATCAAGTCCCATCTACTTTCAAGTTTACTTGCAACTGGGATGTGTTAGGGTGAGAATAGCATTTGTGTTGTAGTATTGACTATTGACTTTTGTACATTTTGATTTTTTGCTAACAAGTACTCCGTATTGTTTAGAATTCCTTATTGTTTCTGGCTATTTGTTTAGTTAATTTGATTCTTTAAATTCTAAAAATAAAAGTCTTGGTCTTTCTTACCAATTTGCTTATTTTCAGCTTTAGTCGTTTGGATATTAAGTTCGAGTAGACATTAGTAGTCTTTGTGTTTTTAAGTGAAATAACTTAAACTAAAGTATAATTTTCCAATTAACTATTTGGCCATATAAAAGGCGGATCTAGAAACATTACATACTAGTTTACAACTCATGTTTCATGACATTTTAAACATTTTGCTTACATGTAAATTCACTCCAACTAAAATTCAAAATCTAGTTGACAAATCTTGATATGCAGAACCTTAATTAGTTGATTAATCAACCTTGAAAAACGAAATTCGGAGTACTTGGTACTTGTATAAATAATACAAGACGCGGAAAACCCGAAACAATATCATAGGCGGTGGTGGCCAAAAACTCCAACATCTTACAAAATTGTCTACCTCACTTTTAATAATATTACTATTAGTTCTTCTCTAATCTCATCAATACAAGGCTTCCGATCCTCATATCATTATCTCCTCAATTAAACCTTGGCTTATTGATTTATAGTTTTAATACTATATACTATATGGTTTATTTTATGTCTTTATAAGTTGAGGGTCCATACAAATACACATCATCATACAAATGCAATTTCAGTTTTTCTTGTTAATAAATAAATAAATTAAATTAAAGAATTATAACATTAAAAGAGTTTGGTGGCCTGGGTATGAGCATGAGCATGGGCATGGCTAATGACCTCACTACCCATGTGGAAGTGACTTGGATAATAATATTTTTATTATATTTTCTAAAAGAATAATTCGTGGGCCTTGCCTCTTTGCTAGTTGAATTGCTCCATCAAGAATATCATAAATCAAACCAAATGCATGTCTCACATCCAAAGAGATTGGATTATTTTTATTTGTTTATAAAACTGCATGGAATAACATGATTTGTTGATTTTGAAATGAGTATAATCTATTATTCTAGTGGTGGATTGCTTTTGTGCCTTTACTATTCCAAAACATTTGCTTACTTGATTTATTTTGTTAATATAATCCGTCCTTCATATGTGAATTAATACTCACACGTACATTTATAATAAAATTGACTTTATAAATCCATGTAATTTAAGCTGATAAAATACTTGAAATTTTTGTGACGTAAAAGAAACACTACTTTGTATCGAGTATTGGTAGCAATAAGCTAATATTACTATTGTGGAAATTAGAAAGCTCATATCTTTCATGATGTGTCATGCACATGAGAAAAGTTGATCAATCGGTGTGGTGTGGTGTGGTGTGGGCGTGTGGGGTTAACTACTTGTAATTATGTCCATAAAACAACTTCAAGATAACAACAATAAAATGTAGACCTCAACATGTGAACTAAAATTTCTATGATAACAAAGGGAATATATTTATTAAGCCCAAACTATAATCATTCAAGGATCATGCTCAAACTATAATTAGTCGGGGGTATTACTTGAGACGTGATGTTGATGTGAATCTTAGTAGCATCACTAATACGAAGTATCTACACTTTATAGTGTGCGAAAAATGTGATCATTCAATGAAAATGCTAAAATCAAATTATACTTCCTCTGTTTCTAATTACTGACACGAGGTGGAGATTACATAATGTAAACAACTAATTAATCAAAATAATTTTTACAGATGATACCTAACCCTTTTCTAATCCTAGTATTAAAATTATATTTTAAAAAAAGTTTGTTTAGCTTCACTAATCACCTCCTAAAAGCTGTGTTACAAATAAAATAAAATAAAATAAAAAAACGAAGGAAGTATATCACAATTGTAATTTATTTTAATAGATTCCTTGATACAAATAAATTTGTAAAGAAAGTAGAAAGATTGGATAGTCAAATCTGAATAGTTGAACTCAAACACTGTTTTTCTTAAAAAATGGAAGATCTAGATAGATCATGAAAATGGCATTTATTTAGGAATGTCAAAGTATAGGAAGACGTGAATAGTTAGCAATGAATAAAACCTTCCAACAAGAAATATAAAATTTGAATTTTTTAAATTTTAAAAATAATAATAAAAAGAAAATAAAAAAATAAAAACAAAGAAAAAAGAAAGAAAGCAAGTTGATTGGGGTTCATTCTCCTTGGGTGGAGGAAGTGGGAAGGAATCCAACGGTGGACTCTCTTTCCCCATTTGCGGAGAAACGCGGCCGTTTGCCCCTCTCTCCCCCCAAGTCTTTTGGAATCTGACCCCTTTTCTTTTTTCTTTTATTTATCCTTTTTTTTAATTATTATATTAATTTAAACAAATAAAAAAATTAAAACACAAATTGCCCCCTTCTTGTTAAAAACTCACAAACCACATTACCCCACCACCAAACTAACTCAACCCTTGGGTTAACTTAACCTAACCTAACCTAACCCAACCCAACCCATCTCTCAACTTTCTTCTCCTCTAAAATCTATAAATCCCCCTTCTTCTGCTCCCTTCACACCCTATTATTCTCCCCTTTCTCTTTCTTTTTCTCCAAGTTTTTATCTCTCCATTTTAAGAACCTTCTTCTTCTTTCTAGTTAATGCACCTCACTTCTTAATTAACAAACCAAGCAAAAATGAGTTGCAATGGTTGCCGAGTTCTTCGAAAAGGATGCAGCGAATCTTGCATCTTAAGACCTTGTCTTCAATGGATAGACACCCCTGAATCTCAAGGCCACGCTACTGTCTTCGTCGCTAAATTCTTCGGCCGTGCCGGTCTCATGTCTTTCATCTCCAACGTCCCCGACTCTCAACGCCCTGGTAAGGACTCGATGATATAAACATTAAATATATTTCCTAAAAATGTATTTCGGACTCAGTATTATTTCTAGACCAATGTTATTAACTTTTTTTTAAAAATTAATTTCAGCTTTATTCCAGTCTCTATTATACGAAGCATGCGGCCGAACCGTGAACCCCGTAAGTGGCGCCGTAGGGTTACTATGGACAGGAAACTGGCACGTGTGTCAAGCCGCGGTTGAAACCGTCCTACGTGGCGGAACACTCCGACCAATCTCAGAATTCCTTGTCGGAGCTCCTCCGTCTCCGGTACCGACAATTGTTGACGCTGATGACAATTCCGAGGTTGTCTGTCCTTCCAAGTCTAACAACAACAACAACACTTGGCGGAAGCAGATTGGTGGATTAAACATGATGCAACAAGATGTGAACAACAACATTCAGAAATCACGTTCATCTCCACCACCTCCTAGATTCACCAACATTAAAAGGCGGAAAGAAGAAGATGATTACCACGTGAAACACCTCGATCTCAGCCTTACACCGCCGAGTTTTCTACACGCGCCGCCGCAACAACGGCCAGGAACGCCGTCGTTGAACTCCGAAGAATCGGCTACTACTGTCAGTTTCGAGAGTGATAATTACTACCAACCTAAACTCTTGAACTTGTTCGTTAGTTAATCAAGATGACGCGTTTTGGAGTAATTTCTTTTTTTGGAACTTATTAACTTAGATCTATTTACAATTTACAATAATCAGTGCAGTGGGATAAGGTTATTTTGGGAAATTAGATTTTCCGGGGAGATTTTTGTAAATGACCGGCGGCAAAGATTTCTCACCCTAAAATGCGGGGAAAGGAAGATGAATGCTGGGCGGCGTCTATTTTCTTCCTTTTTTTTTTAATTTTTTTTTTTTTTTTTGGGGTAATTCGGGGTTTCTCATTGGCTTGTCACTTTTTTTGATCTGTGACTATGACTACGTGTAAGTTTACGTATGAGTAAAAAATAAGAATTGTATTTTTGGCTCAATTATTTTATTTACTTGTTTCGTAGTAATTTTAAATTTTTAATTAATTTTTCTAATTCTGAAAGGTGAGGTGGGTTGGTTAATTTGGTAGTCTATCACAAAACAGCTATGAGCCTATAATATTGCTTCCTTTAAAATGGGATTTATTTTCAGTTTATAGTCTATCCATTCGAGTTGTGTATTAACTTTATGATCTATCCATTTGAGTTGTGTATATCTGAAACGAATTATATGTATTTATCAAAGTTGTACCTAGATTCATACATCCTTCATCTTTACTTTACTCTATTACTTGTAAATCTTTTAATTTGTCCGTCAAAAATATTTCTTAAAAAGTTACGACATTACCGTCTTATAATAATAGCTAATTAGTAAACCCTGGCAAAATAATAAGAAATGTGAATACTCCTCTTTAGGTGAGTTTGTTTGGAAATGAATGACCATTCAAGTACAAAAATTAGTGTAATTTTACTCCGCACACTCGATAAGACTTGTACATATCAAAATTTCACTTAATTGAAAGGTTAAAATTTGATAAGGAATTTGGGTTTAGTAAAAATAATCTTTAGCAATAGAGTGAGTTTTGCTTTTTAGCTTCCAACCAATGCTTGATCTTTTGATCTTGTTGATAAATTCATTGCATTGACTTGCTCATCTCTAAAGTACGAAGGGTGCCATCCCTAGTTAGTGGGAAACATTTAACTAAACCTTTTTGGATTTTATTACATCAACAAATATTGTTATTTATTGAAATCTGAAAATATATACTCCAATAATGATAGTTTCACAACCTCCTCAATTTAAGAATTTGACATATTTGACCAGAACATTAGTGAGTAGTGATAGAGTCACTTTTATGAGAAACGCATTATGAAAATGTGATTTTATAGTGTTAGCGTCAAAATCAAATGCAAGAGTAAAAAGTCAATTATCAAAAATATCATTCATGTTATTGGACCAAAAAGTTCCACGATGATTTTGTATGTTTTCGTAAGCTCCATTTAACCACCTAAATACTCCACACAAAATTATTATGGAGTACAATATAAATTTTGTTGAAGTAATAAAACTAAAATTGTGAGGTATATACTACGTATTTCTATTAAAAAACATGTACTATGTACTCAATTGTATTCGAATGTAATTAAATCAACCGACTTATTATAATAAACAAATCGATATCACTCGATTAATCGGATAGAGGTTAGTTTGGAGTTTTGGAAGGGTATGGGTACGGGTAGTACAAATAAAGCTAGGGAGAGAGCAAATCAAAAGGCAAGTAGCAGTACGAAGAAGAAAGCGCGTGGAAGAGAGTAAAGAAAAGAAAATCTTGGAAGATAAATATTCCAAGATCACATTCTCAGCGTTGCAGGATTGTTGCGTATCGATCCACTACCTTTTAAAATTATCCAAAATGGACGACTATCCACAGATTATAGCTGCATTTAATACACCCATTTTAAGAAAAAGCCCTTTTTCTTTTTTCTTTTTAAAAAAAACCATAAAAATTCAAAGCTCCAAACTATTGGCTTTACCTCACGTTCAATTATAAGTTTCTCGCCTTTCGGCGGACAGCCTAACTTGGGTGACCTAAGAGAGAGAAATTTACACCTTGTTTTATTTTTTAGAGGGAGAAAGCAAGACCATTTTGTGTTTTTATTGTAAGGGGCGGCTTTTGAAGGGTTGAAAGAGTCGTATAAATGGGAAGAGGGGTAATAATGTAATTTGGGTAGTAAGGGCCCTACCAACTCTTTAAAACTTTAAAGCATCAAAGTGTATTTGGTACAGTTACTTAATGCATCAACTCTTTATCCAAGTCTCCCACTTGCATCCAAGCGTACGGTCCATGTCAGCGTTGATTTTGGCTGTCTCCATGATAACCATATACCCTCCCCTCAACTGCTTATTTTGCTATCATCTTTTTTACCCCACCCACACAATTATACAAGTAGAGATAGGTCGAGGCCGGTTAGTCACAATATGAAAATAGTCTCATTTGGTATGAGCTTATTATAAGGCCGGTATGGTCATTGGTAGGCTGCGAGTTGTGCATGAACCATCCATGAGCACAATAGGCCGGCTTGCAGGTGGCTTCTTATTCATTTTTTAAACAAATTTAGCATTAATATACTCGTAAAAATTATCAAAGGGGATCATAATATAAAAATTATCAAAGAGGATCATTGGTAGGTAACGATACATGGATTAAGCCGTACATGAGCATGAATCACTATTCCTTAACTCTCCAAACATAACCTACCTGAGCATAAGCAGGCATGTCATATGGGCCTACACAACTTGGCTCGACCTTTAACAGTATCAAAGGTATGGTTTGCTTAGGGTTGTAATATGCACAAAGTAAAACCGATTACTGTAGCTTAAAAATCCTGATATATATAGTATATCTATTATAAGTGTCCAATAAAAGATTTTTATAGTCAAATTTCAGTACGGAGTACCCAAAAAATACCCTCAAACTTAAAGCTGGGCACCGTGCCGTGTCATGCCATCATGCTGGCACGGTCGTGTCGTGTCGTGCTGACCATTTCCACAAGTCGGCCCACGGCACGTCCCACGTGCCTAGCGTGCCGTGTCGTGCCGGCCCCCGTGCCGCCCATTTATTTTATTTTTTTAAATATTTACTTTTATTATTTTGTTAAAAAAATATTAATTTTATTATAAAAGTATCGTGCTTGGTGGGCCGTGCCGACGGGCCGGTGTTCGTGCCGCCCGCCGTGCTCGTTCCAAATTTCAATTTCCTTGTTCACGGCACGGCCCACCGGCCGTTTCACATGCTTGTGCCGGGCCGAGCCATCTGGCGTGCCGTGTCGGGCAGTCCGCGTGCCAGCCGGGCCATGCCCAGCTTTACTCAAACTTAAAGAGTGATGATAAGAATTAAATTGGGTTAGTTAGGTACTTAAGCCATCTATTTGTTAATTTGAAAGAAATACTTAAAAGGGCTAAAAAGTTATTCTGGTACAAGTAGTCTACTTTGGGTTCCTTTCCTCCATCTTGGGGATTGGTGGGCCAGCATCACACGTTAGATCTATTTGTCAAATTGTTATTTAAGTGTCCAAATATATATATTATTATTAGTCCTTTAGAATACTCATCAAATAAACGCCCATGCCTAATTAATAATTAAAAAAAAAAACACATAAAATAAGTTATCTTTTGAGTTATTTTCCCCTGCGATAATGCAGCGTCTCGCCGCATTTGCAGAGGGCCCAAACCATAATTTAATTTCGTCAGCGCAATATCTTCCACCTTCTTCTCCTTTTGCTGCCTTCTTTTTGCTGCATATATATCACCATATCTCTCCCCATTCTACCTTTTCTTGTGCTTAATTAACTGTTTAAATATAAGTGTATCTAACAAATACTGTAATAATAAAGTCATACAAAAAAAAAAAAAAGTGGATTTTAAATCTAGAAGGTTTTTTTAAAAAAACAGAAGTAATCTAAACTATGTACAAATTTTGTTATGCTATATTCAATATGTATTTTTAAAATAAAGTATTGAGTAATTATATATTTATAAGGATTATTTACTTTAATTAGTCATAAGTTAGATTCATTGATGTTCAAATATGTGTATCAGAAGAAATGCAAAACATATTATATATATATATATATATATATAAAACAAATTGAATACCCCTCCTACCTTCAATATATTGTTAATGATGTTGGTTTAGTGGTAGAAATTTTATAGAAGTCAAGGCCTTATAAGTTATAAGCTATACAAACACTGTATGGGTCTTATCATTTATTACAAGACGATAACCACACATATGATATACGTAATACTTCGTAATATTAATATGTGTCATACACTCAACTATATAAGAGGTTGTTCCTAGTTTTCTGTTGCCACGCCACCGGCCTACTAAATGCATGTGACTTGTGATCCAAAATTGTACAAATTGTTTTCAGCTCTTCTGTTATGTTTATAAGACTATGATTCCTGTGTCCCATGTAATCCTTGGGTAATAATTAGGGACCATAAAAAACTTGTCATTTGGTGTAGCTTAGAGATATTCTTAGAGCTTACATCAATTTCAGTTAGATCTTTGTAATTTTGGACCACAAATTACAAGTTGCTTTTTAAAGCCAATTCCTTGCATTTGGGGGATGTTGTCTGTCACCATCTTTTGGCGGGGTACATTAATCTAGCCTGTTATTTTGATTTCTTTGTCTAATTTCACAATCAATATATTTATACTTAATAATGGTCCGAATTATTACTGACTAGATATGTAACTCCAATGTGTATGTGTCCAAAGGACAAAGTAGCTGGAATAATGAACATCCTTATAACTCTAACAATGACAAATTGTCAAATTGACAATATTACGTTGAACATATATACGCTCGGCCCTGAATTGTCCACTGATTGAGAAAACAAATATCATGCATAGAGCCCACTAGTGCCTTCTCTCTTCTACTTATACCGATTTCCACAAATCAACACTCTAGGGAACGTTTTATTCGACTTATTGTGAATGAAATAACATGAACATATATAATCAATTTTATCAGATAAAGACTGGTGAATTAAAGTTATGTTTAGTTCATCTTATCTCTACTAATATTGTAAGAAAAATAAGTTTCAATAAGGATTAATATTCACATAGATTCAAATAAGATAGGTTTTAGAAATATAAGTTTTGACAAGGAACATCAATAAGATCTGCCTAAAGATAAGGGAAAAGCACATAATAATTATTCGCAAGATTAATTTAAAGTTTGCCATTTGTCTTAAAACTTAAGCATTAATTTTGTTTGTACAAATTGGGTTTGAATGTTTGATCAACAAAACTACATTTTGACCTAATAATCAACCTATAAATAAGTGGTATTTGACACATGTCACATGATTCATAATTATCACATATATATGCAATATTGATACTCAACTAATAATATACATAACCACTCAAGTTCATCGTTTGAACAAATATTTTTATAACAAACTAATTTGGTTTAGAAACCCATGATGG